CTTTGGCAAAGTAACAGTGTATAAAATTTACACTCAAAAATCAATGGCTTTTCTGTATGTTAACCATGAAAAAAGCGTGGCTGAAATCAGGAAAGAAACTCCATTCATAATAGCTCCACAAATAATAAAATACCTAGAAATTAACGTAAACAAAGAACTGAAGGATCTCTATGATGAAAACTTTACAAACTTGTAGAAGGAAATCAACATAGAACTTAGAAAGTGTAAAAACCTCCTATGCTCCTAGATTGGCAGAAGCAATATCGTGAAAATGGCAATATTTCCCAAGGCTATCTTCCAATTCAACAGGATTCCTATCAATATTCCAACCTAATTTCTCAAGGAAATAGAAAAAACAATCCAAAAATTCATACGGAACAATAAAAGACCCCGAATAGCAAAAACGATCCTGAATAGAAAGAACAGTGTTGTAAGAATATCAATAACAAATTTGAAACTCTACTACAAATCCATAGTAATCAAAACAGCTTGGTCCAGGCACAAGAAAAGACCTCAGGACCAATCGAATAGAATTGAAAACCCAAAAGTGATCCGACAGACCTATAGGCATCTAATCTTTAATGAGGGAGCCATAAAAATAGAATGGAAGAAAGCCAGCCTCTTTTGTAAATGGTGCCAGCAAAATTGGTTAATCACTTGTAGAAAATTAAAGCTAGATTCTTATATGTCACCCTTTACCAGAATCAACTCCAAATGGATCAAAGACCTCGGTATCAAAGCAAACAATGAAAACAAACATTATGGAATAGGTGGAACCCTAGGTTTCCTTGTCGCAGGCCAAAATTTTCTTAATAGAGTTCCAGAAACACAACAAAACAATGAAAGGTTGGACAAATGGGATTGCATGAAATTGCAGAGCTTCTGCTTGGAAAGGACTTAGCTAGCAAGATCAATAGAAGGCCCACAGTTTGGGAGAAGATCTTCATTAGCCATACAACGGACAAGGGTCTCATATCTAAAATATACTTATAACTCAAAATATTAAATCCTCCAACAACAAATCCTCAAAGAATCAACTGCCCAATTAAAAAGTGGACTAAAATCTTTAAGAGAGAACTTCTCTGAAGAAGAAAGAAGGATGGCCAGTAGACACATGAAGAATTGTTCACCTCCTTAGCCATAAAAGATATGCAAATCAAAAGAACATTGAGATACCACCTCACCCCAGTTAGAATGGCTATAATCAAGAACTCTAATAACAAAAGATGCTGGAGGGGATGTGGACAGAAGGGAACCTTACTGCATTGTTGGTGCGAGTGTAAACTTGTGCAACCACTTTGGAAAGCAGTAGGGAGGGTCTACAACAGACTCCACATAGAGCTTCCCCATTACCCAGCAATCCCACTTTTGGGCATTCACCCAAATGATCACAAACAAGTCCACACTAAAGCACCCAGCACAACTATGTTTATTTCAGCATTGTTTACCATAGCTAAGATGTGGAACCAACCTTGATGTTCCTCAGTAGATGAATGGAGCAAGAAAATGTGGTACACATACCACATTTCTTTTCTCTGTCAAAAAGAAGGATATTGCCCCATTTGCTAGGAAATGGAAAGTCTTGGAAAAAATTATTTTAAGTGAAGTAAGCCAGGACCAAAGAAACACTGGTTCCAAGCTTCCCCTATTTGCAATAACTAGTATTTTTCTGAGACAAGCAGAAACAGATCAGTTGTTATTAGATGAAATGAACCCCAAGATAAGGATTCAAATGTTTTTTTTTTGTTTCTTGCGGTTCCTAACATATTCATAAGATTATTTCTTTGTTACTTTGTATGTCCCTCCCTCACAATATAACACTTTTTTCTCTGTATTTGATACTGGTATACTTAGTGGAGGGGAAGGGAAAAAGCAAATTGTTTAAATAGGGATCCAGGTGGACCCATGGCAACAATGAGATGTACAAGTCTTTATGTCAAAAAAACTTTACAATTTTGGCAGTGGGTGAGGGGTGTACTGGGTTGGGGTGGATGGGAAGGGATGGTAAAGGGAAATAAAGGAGGATGCAAAAATGCTTGATCAGAAATGTACTCATTACCTTGCCCATGTAATTGTAAACCCTCTGTACGATATTTTTACCATGAAAAAGAAACTAAAAATATAAAAAGAATCTCATGAACTTTCCTCCCTGGGCTGGCTTTGAACTGCAATCCTCAGATCTCAGTCTCATGAGTAGTTAGGATAAATGTGTGAGCCACCTGCACCCAGCTTCCTCATTTATTTTATTTTTTATTTTTTATTGTGAAAATACTTTACAGAGGTGTTACAATTACATGGGCAAGATAATGAGTATATTCCTTATCAAGCATTGTAGCCTCCTCCTTTTTTTCCCCTTCTCATGCCTTCCCATCCTCTCCCCGCCCCCCACAAATTTCCCCGCCCCCCCCCGCACCAAAGTTGTAGTTTGTTTTCGACATGACGACTTGTACATCTCATTGTTGCAATGGGTCCACCTGTATCCCTATTTAAACGATTTGTTTCCTATGGTATTTCTAGCTGATTTCTCTACTCCTTGTAGTTCCTAGCAACTACAAAGTAGGGCTAGTTGTACCTTATTCATTACAGTAGTACTTGGGTATAAATGACTGCTGAATGCAGGAAGGAGATGCGTCTAATATAAAATACACTGCTGTCTTGGTATTTAAAAAACTAACAAACAGCTGAGAGTAGTTCACATCTGTAATCCTAGCAACTCAGAATGATGACATCTGATAATTATGCTGATTTCTGATTAAAGCTCTTTTGGTGTTTTTTATTATAGGTTTTATTTATTTTCCTATTTTACTGTTTCTTATGTGATTACTGAAAAACTGAATGACTTCCATGGCTTCTATTCCTGGATGACTTTGGAGGTGCTCTAGAAACTTCATCACAGGCCAGACTTGTTCTACTCAGTTGAGTAGCCAGCCACAAACCTATAAGTGACAATACTTAAAGTAAGCAAAATTACATGAAATCAAAAATTCAGACAGTCAGTTTACCTAGCCATATTTTAAATAAAAATAGAATTCAAGTTTCAGTTAATGTTAGTAAAGTTTTAATATATTAATTCTATCTGTGTCCTCTGTCACACTGCCACAGCAGAATGTAAAACATATGGGATATCATGTGGCTCCCAAGGCCTGGACATACTTACTCTGTTCCTTTACAGAAAATGTTTGTCTATGTTCCCTAGTGAACATCATTTATTATGCAGAGCTACCCTCTTTTCCATATATAGTTATTCACCCTCTTCTTTTCTCTCTCCTTCTCTCTTCTCTCATACAATCCTTTCCTTTTCTTGTGTTAAGGATCAAAAGTCATGCATGCTAAGCTGCTAAGGTGAATCCCAGCCCTGTGTATGATATTGTGTTTGATGACGGGGTAGATTTTCGGGGCTTGAATTTTGGTCCTGGACACTGTCTGTGAACTTTTGTGCTCAACACTAGTTCTCTGCCACTTGAGCCATTGCCCCACTTCTGTCTTTTTGGTGGTTAATTAGAGATAAAGTCTCATTGGCTTTCCTTCTTGGGCTGAATTAGAACCAGGATCTCATCAGCTTATGATTACAGGAATGAGACATTGGCATCTACCTTACATTTTTTAAATTTTTCAGTTAGAACCTATATCCAAATGACATATATCTTCTTTAAATGTAAAAGAGAACAAGTGTGGGAACCCTTCAGAGAAGTAAACAACTTAAAACTGTATAGATTTAAATATCTCAGTATCATCACAAAATTAATAGGTATTGCTTTTTTTTTTTTTTGGCGGTCGTGGGGCTTGAACTCTGGACCTGGGCGTTGTCCCTCAGTTCTTCCGCTCTAGGCGAGCGCTCTACCACTTGAGCTACAGTGCCACTTCCGGTTTTCTGGTGGTTTATTGGAGATAGGAGTCTCACAGTCTCTCCTGCCCGGGATGGCTTTGAACCTCGATCCTCAGATCTCAGCCTCCTGAGTTGCTAGGATTACAGGCGTGAGCCACCAGCGCCCGGCGAGTATTTCTATTACTAACATATTATAAGGTGAATTTTCAGGACTAACACTAACAAAGTATTTGGAGAAATGATATTGCTTTATTTTTAGGAATCCAAGTCATATACTTTATTCTATATCTTAGCTTGAGAAAATCTGATTCATTGTATAGAATAATTCCTATGAATTTCTGAGGTACATAAAAATAATGACAGACCTGGTTCAGTCATTGATTTTAGAGTTCTAAAACCATATTTACAAGAAACTTTGTATTTTAAGCCATACAGTATAGCGATTTTGTCTAAAGCATGCTTTATCGACACGTATCACTAGAAAAATTTTCTTAAAAAGATAGTGAATGTGGAAAATCAGTCTATACTCAAATCTTGTCAAATTAAGAATAGATTTGAATAGTGATGTACATGGCTAAGCAATAACTTGAAATAATTATCACTATCTATCTTGACAGGTATGATTAGTAGCTTCTTCGATTTCTTGTTATAATATTTATACTTAAGTAATGCTACAACAGTGTTAGAATCTTGGCAATTTTGAAATGGGCTACTTCAAGGACAGATAAGAAAAACAATCTCAAGCCAGGCGCTAGTGGCTCTTGGCTGTAATTCTAACTCCTCTGGAGGCTGAGATCTGAGGATTGCAGTTAAAAGCTATCTCAAGCAGGAAAGTTCATGAAACTCTTATCTACAATAAACCTCTAAGAAAACTGGAAGTAGTGCAATGGCTTAAGTGGTAGAGCGCTAGCCTTGAGCTGAAAAGCTCAAGTCAGACCCAGAATCCCGAGTCCCACAACCGACAAAAAAAAAAAAAGTTCCTCACTGGACAGATGGATGAGAATTGAGTACATTTTCTCGATGAAGTATATTTAGGCCGAGTTTTTCTAAATTTTGTCTTACCTCATACGTTAAGTGATTTTTTGCAATGAACTGAAGGTTCTTAAGTGACTTTTTTTCTATGAATAATTGAGTTTGTAATAAAGTAATTTTGTAAAAGATTGTCTATTTTCCACTATTCCTTTTTATCGTTTAAATCTTCCTCTTTGTTCTGCACCACCTTCCACTTCCACAGGTTTCCAGAGTGTTTCACAAGAAGACTGTACACCTTATTCTGGGGTCCACCAGTGCCTCCCATGTCATTAGGTAAGGCTATGAACCACTCTTTAACAAATATCTGGGGATTTTCTTTAACTTTAATCCTAATGAATTAAAAATAGAAGGAGTTAGAAAATTTCTAAGTCAGTGACTGCACTTGTGGTTTGCTGTGTACAAAAATTCCATGAAAGCAGTAGTAGCAAGTGTTAAATTGGAGTATCTAGGAGAAACTATTTACCTATAAGCTCCCCTAACCTCCAAAACACTGACAGAGCAAGTATTTTTCATTGTACACAGGTTTCTTTTTCAGTGTTCTTACCGTTGATTAATACATTCTGTTCCTTTTGCACTTGTAGCCAAAATCAACCTTGTCTTTGTTATTTTTTTTTGATTGTGAAAATGCCATACAGAGGTGTTGCATTTACATGGGCAAGGTAATGACTATATTTCTTATCAGACATTTTTGCCTCCTCCTTTGTTTCCCGTCCCATCACCCCCCCACCCCCGCCAAAGTTGTAAAGTTCGTTTATCGACGTAATGTCTTGTACATCTCATTGTTGCAATGGGTCCACCTGTATCCCTATTTAAACCATCCCTTCCCCTCCACAAACCTTGTCTTTGTTATTATTTTTTTCAGATATATATATATATATATATATATATATTTGTTTTTTGTTTTTATTGTGAAAATACCCTACAGAGGGGTTACAATTACATGGGCAAGATAACCAGCATCAAGCATTGTTGCCTCCTCGTTTTTTCCCTTCCCATCACTTCCCATACTCCTCCCCTCCCCCCCGATCCTCCCCTTACCCCCTACCAATGTTGATAAGTTCGTTAATCGACATAACAACTTGTACATCTCATTGTTGCAATGGGTCCACCTGTTATTCTTATCTCAAAGAAATAAGTCAAACAGAGCACCGGAGCATGGTGTTCAAATAGGTAACTGAGGTATTTTTGCTGTGTCTCCCCATGAAGAATAGTAGAAAGGCAAAAAAGCATGAATGAGAGATTGAGAGTGGAAGACTGTATTGACTTTGCCACAAGATTATTTGCATAATGAAGTCATCTGTATATGAGGGCAGATTTCTCTTTCATGATCATGTCTTAAAGATTCTACCTCTTTTTTCTTTTCTTTTTTCTTATTTTTGCTAGATATATGGCTAGAACTCAGGGCCTGGATCCTGTACCTGAGGTCTTTTGCTCAAAGCTAGTGCTCTACTACTTATATTCACAGCCCCACTTCTGAGAATGCCTGGGCACAGATGGCTCACACTTGCAGTCCATGAGACACTTATCTCCAACTAAACACAGAAAAATCTGGAAGTGGCATTGAGATTCAAGTGGTGGACCACTAACTTTGAATAAAAGCAGCTCAGAACCAAGTACCAGAAAAAAAAAGAAGAGAATACTAGTCAGATACCTTGAAGGAAAGTATAGGAATCTCTAGAAATAAATCAAGGATTTCCAATAGCAGTGATGATTAGTCTATGATCTACTATATTAGATATGATTTCTCTGTCTTAATACTGAATCTCTCTGATATCCTAGTCCCTTTTCCCAAAATAAAAAAATGAAAACAAATGGCTTTGATTTTAAACCTATAAGAGTCTCATACACCTACTGATATATTTGAATGACCAAAAAAATAATTTTGGCGGTGGGGGTGTGGTACAAGTGAGAATTCTCAATTTTTGCCTCAGGAACATTTTCTTTTCAGATTACAGATTTGATGATCGAGAAAAATGTTTAAAGTAATTGTGTTGTATCTTAGACATTATTATAGAATTAAGAATATCTCTTTTAATCTCACTCTAACTGTGTATACGATGGAAAAATAGTTTATTCCAATGTATTGGAATACTTCAGATTTTTTTTGATTCTCCTAATCTGATAGTCATACTCTGAAAACAAATCCTTAAGGTGTTGAAAACTGATAAGCTTTCTTTCTGCCATAGGACAAGGAGGAGACAGAACTTGCATCACTTTATATAGCTGTGGAGGGGAAGGGATTGTCCTACAGAATCACCTTTGAAAGCTTGGTGGTGAAACTTTTGACATAAACATTCTCATCAGGGACATCAATTCAACCAAAATGAGTTGCCATGGTCTGAAATCTCCCCTCCAGTTGCTCTGTTCCCATCTTGCAAGTTACATTCCAAACTAGAGATATCCACCATGCTAGGCAGACTGCTTAGGTTTTTTTTGAAAGTCTAAGAGTCAATGAAGGTATCTTACGGGACTTAAAAAAGAAAAATATTTTAAATTCCCATGTGCATATCCCATTAGGAAGTTGAGGTGATACCCAGAAGCTCTCAGAACTGTATTCCTGTCACTTAGATTTTCTTGTGTGTGCCAGTCCTCTTTTTGTTTGTTTTGATTTGTTTTCATATTAGGCTAGAACTACCACTTGCCATAGCTCTACTTTCATCTTTGTTGGTTATTAGTTAGAGCTTAGGGAAATCAAGTTCCTTCCTGCCCAGTCTTATTAGCCACAATTCTCAGATCTTAGCTTCTTTAGGATTATAAGAATGAGCCACTGGTGCCCAGCTATGTTACTATTATTTAAATCATGTAATCTTCTAAGGGTTCTCCCATCATTTTTTGTAAAAATATGCCTCACCAAAATAAATAGTGAAAGGACAAAATAAAAGTTATTGTGATTCTCCGAAATAAACAAAAATATATAATATTCTGTATTTAAGTGATAAAGTATAATTTTTGGAGTTGTTGTTGAAAGACTGTATATATTTAGTAGCATTTTGGAAAGAAATGAATCAATTATTCAGAGATAGACCATGAAGCAAAATATATTTTATGAGCAGTATTAATGTGTACAACAGTTTTTATGTCAGTAATATAACACACTTCATGTAGAATCGAATTACAGGTGCTAAGATCTGCTATGCATATGGTCATTGCTTAATTCTAAAATGGTCAGTTTTCCTGAGCCTTTTCAGTTTTTCCTCAGTAGCAGTCACATTGAACCATAAACTCATACAGGAGTCACCTGTAGCCATTTTACTCTTAAGAAACAATTTCTTATTTATTTTCCTAATTTGTTTATTTAAGATCCAACACTGGGACTCAAATTTAATATCTGACTGTTTTCAGCTCACTAAGTTCTACCACCTGAGCCATGCCTTCAACACTAATTTCTGATTTTAAAGATACAGAAAATATAATATTGATAAGTGTTCTCTGATTTTCTTCGCCCAGAAACCCACATATAATTATGTTTGATTTAATAGTCTCTCAATATACTTATATGCTGTCTTTTTGGTTTTGTTTTTGTATACTGGGCTTCAAATCAGTACCTTTCACTCTTACAGAAACTAGGCATTTATGGTTCATGCCTATAATATTGGCTGCCTCAGAGACTGAGGTTGACCATCAAGTTTCTAATCCAGCCCAGGCAAGAAAGTCTGTGAGACTCTTATCTCTAATTATTCCCGTAAATGAGTAGGAAAGTGGAGCTGTGAAAAATAGTAGAGCACAAGCCTTCAGCGCAAAGGTAGAATGAGAAGTAAGGTCCTGAGGTCAAGTAGCACACAAAAAGTTAATTTCCTTTCCTGTGAAGACTTAGGGTCTGTGTTGGAGGGGTGAATGATGCAGGCTCTGGCCTCAGGATTATCTGAGGCCTGTATTTGTGTATGTGCAAAGCTCTTGGCATGCAGGGCTAGAGAAGTTACATGTTCTCTCTCCCTATCTCAAAGCACATGTCACAGATTCCTGGGAGCTGACGACGTAGCTCTTCTGCTTACTTAAGCATAGACGAACATCTAGTCAAGCATTATCCTGAGTACTGGGAAGTAGTTTGAACTTGCTCTAAAATAGTTTAGATAAAAATATACAAAGATATTGTCTCATAGTTTAAGCAAAATTGTATCTGTTGAAATTCTTTGTGGGAAAGTCTTCTGACTAAATCTTGGCAAAGATAATGCTTGCTTGTCTTTAAATACCCACTAGCAATAAAGCACAGCATGCAGTGGCAATTGCTGTTTGTACTCTGCATGCCCTGTGTCCTGGTGATTTCGTGAACTTTACCCAGGGACCCCAACCCCTTATACGTTGACACTTTCCCTTCAGCACTTTAATAAGTTAAAATGATAAACATTGTATTAATTAATGGTTACCATTAATATAGCACTGATAAATTACACTTATTGGTGATATTCCTTTACTTTCCTAAAGTTACTTATATACTAATATCATCATATGAGGAAATAATTCCTGTTTAACAAGTTTTTAATGGCAGTTAAGCATCAGAAATGTATCCAAAGAGATTTGATTGGAAATAGGCATTTTCAAGTTATTCATATACATATATAATAGTTGAATAAGCTTGGCATGTACGAAGTAGGCTAAAGAAACCCACAAGAATAGGTCCACACAGACTTGGGGAATAATAAAATATTAGCAAAGAGGTGATTCTGGAAAATAAAAACTTCGGAAGAATAGAAAACAAGAAAAATGTATAGCTATTTTTAACGACCTTGAAATATATATGTTGTTAAGGTAAGTGGGTATATATATGTTTATATGTATATATATATATATATATATGTTGTTAATTAGTATGAGTAATAGGGATTAAAAAAATTTTGTGTTGTCAGAATTAAGTTATAAGATGTATAGAGAAAAACAAATTTATTGTCAAAATTGGTTGCTTTGCTTTCTAGTTCAAATTGCGTGTACAGACAGATTAGCTGGAATGCAGATGACAAAATAATGTCTCTTGGCAATGAAGATGGGCATGTTTGTTACCTTTAGAAAATAAAAAAAACTTATGAAATGGTAGCCTTTCTATACAACACCTTAAAAACATCATAAAGGCATTATTACTGTTATCATTATTGTTATTATTATTAGTATTATCATTATTATTTTCCATGGGGCTTGAACTCTAGGCCGGGATGCTGTCGCTGCACTCTTCTGTTCAAGGCAAACACTCTACCAGTTGAGGCACAGTGCCGCTTCTGGTTTTCTGATGGTTAATTGGAGATAAGAATCTCATGGACTTAACTGCTGGGGCTGGCTCTGAACCATGACCTTCAGATCTCAGTCTCTTGAGGGGCTGGGATTATAGCGCTGAGCCACC